ACTGACTGACTGACTGACTGACACTGACTGACTGACACTGACTGACTGACACTGACTGACTGACACTGACTGACTGACTGACCTTTATTTGTTTTCTATCTACTTTTGTCCTTTTGCCTTGTCCCGAGGACCCGTTGAATTTCTGTGAGCTCTTCCCTGAGCATCTCCCCTGGTATAGAGAGGCAGAGGTGAAGCACGGGCGCGTTGCAATGCTGGCATATGTGGGATTGGTCGCACCCGAGATGTTCCGGATTCCTGATCCTATCTTCAATCAAGTGGGCTTGGATTCCGTCTCAGCCCACAACATGCTTCTGGGAGCTGGTTTCGGCCGGGGACCGATGTGGTGGCTTTCCTGTGTCTTGGCTCAGACATGCAGACGGTAGCCCGTAAAACTGGATGTCGAAAGCTAGAAGCAGGACCAAGAACATGTTTTACAGTACTCCTGTGGTTTGAGTTGTGCAAGCCAGACATGTATTTGCGCATGACAACAGGGGATTCTTTTGGAGACCAAAGTGTAGCTGAGCGTAGCTGAGGTTCTGCGGATTCCTGGAGGTGTTGCGAATTGGTCAACTTGGTTTTGACTTCGAACTTCTTACTTTGGATACTGCAGGAGACTTCGGCCTCGCTTTCACAGAAGAGAATATGGCAGTTTTGAAGACCCAGGAATTGAAGCACGGGCGTTTGGCCATGATCGCTTTTGGTGGCGCCATTACACAAGCCGTAGCATGCAATGCGCATCGTTTTCCTTTTATTCCATGTAGCACGTGCTAGTTTCCAGATCATGTTTTTGCAAAACAACAGGTCATACAGTGCTTGTAAGCAACTGTTCAGTTGAACGATTTTCCGAACTGGCCAAACTGGCACGTTGTTGCATAGGTCCGTCGCTTGGCAGCAGCGAAGACGCTTACTTGTAGAGACTTTCATACCGTTTGCACAGAACGCTTGCTTTGGAGTGTATCCTTCAGCAAGCGGACCTGCCAAGCTAATGACTGTTTAAGAATGCATTTGAAGTTCCATTTTGCAAGGCCTTGAGTTCCACCAGAGGGTGCCCATGCATTGACTGCCTGCAAATGACTTGATATCATCCAATATGCATTGTTTTGCATTGAGATCATTATACCCAAAACATCCCAAAACATACCTTTGCATTGACTTTGCAGGGGCCCTTTCTGGCGCTTCTCTGCCAGTTCAGCAGCAGAAAACAGAATCAACCATTCATTGGGTTATTCCGGTTGTTCTTGTCACTCCCACTGAAGCCACTCAATGCATCCTCCCCTATAGGCCCTATAGCTTAGCTAAGGAGCAGGAGAAAAGGACAAACGCCCCTTTTGTGGCTTGATGATGTCCAATTTCCAAGCAACAAAGCAGTGGTCTCTACAGATCGATTCAGTTCACAGGGCCAGGAGCCACACCGTGCCGCGCCCCAAACATCTCCCGGGCCATCTCTCGGCACGCTCACAGGGCCGGAAGACCCCAGCCGGGAAGAGTCAGTAGGGGGACCTGTTTGAAGCGAGATCCGTTTTTCGAGAAATCGAGAGAACACGACAGCCAGCGTCCGTAAGTTCAATGCCCACTGCATGGTGAGATTTTGTTCAGCCAAAAAAGAGTGAAACTGTGAAAACGCACGGACGCACACTAAGCTCAAAGTCGGTCGAGTGGCCACATGTGTTTTCAGGTTTTGCCAACCAGTGATTTTGCTTGGCACAACCATTGAGGCCATCTGCTTGGCACCTGCAGGCACGGTCGGGGTCGAGGTCGTCATGGGCACGTGCTATCACGTGGGCACGATCACGTGGGCACGTGGGGTGTTGAGAGTTTGGAGGTGACAAACCATGCTTGGCTGCTTGACACTCTCAGAACGTTCAGTGCAACGTGTTCAGAGAATACCAGCTAATGTGGCAGACGGATAATATCAACCCTAACAGAACAAACATTTGTCGTAAAACATGTGACGATCGTTCAGCAGCTTCTGGCCCAGGGGAGATGGAGAGACGTCGCCCAGAGGTCGGACAAAAGGCGCGCGGCAGGGCCATGGCGGGGCAGCTCTGCGCGGTGCTTTTCGGGTCGTTGGATTTCTCTCTTTTTTCGGAACAAAGAAGCTACTAGGAACAAGTGCCTTACTAGTAGTAACAGGTGCCTTACTAGTAGTAACAAGAAGCTATTAGAAACGATTTCTCTCTTTTTTTCGGGTCGGTCGTTGGACCCTTCGGAACTGGAACCCTCCAGTACCCCACTGAGTGTTTGGTAGGTCGCGGCTTGCAGGATTACGTCGCAGGTCGTTGTTAGTTGGTAGGTCGTTGATGAGTTGCGGCATCGCGATGCATCGGTACACCCAGCTGGGCAACAATGATTTGGGTTGCCCTGGTGTGGGCCGAAGCTGCCGGCTTTTTGATTGTATCCAAGTTTTCCCCGGCCGAGCTTTAAAAATGCTTGAAAGGGTTGTAGACACGCCAGGAAGACCTTTTGGGAGTTGCCACCTGAAATTCAAAGAAAGCTGTGGTGACGGTGTGGTGCTGCCATTTGATTCATCCCTAAGTTTCAAGCAGGTCGTGGCTTGCTTTGGGGCTGCAAATGGGACTACGCCAGTGGTCGTGCGTCATATTCCCATACGCCTGCCCCTCAGGGCATGGAATTCATGATTGACTATGATTGATGAAAGGGAGTTGGTGAACGATGGTGAAAATCCTTACACTGTCCTGCTGATTGGAAGTGTTCAGTCCAACTCTTAATTGTCACAGGAAAAAAAACCTTGCTGGCGCCTCACAGTTGGCTGTGGGGAATGTTGTGTTTTGGTTATAGTCTCCTGCAGTCTCCTTGTGACAGCTGACCACCGCACTGACAGCTGTGGAGATCCTCATGAGGACTTGGAAAGTCTGGTGCGATCACGGAGCATTCCACAGGTGTGGCAGCCCTCTTCGGAAAGGATGTACAAACATTTTGGTGCGGCGCGGCAAGCGCCGCACCACCACCAAACTTGTCTGAAAGGGAAGCCATCGAATCTGTATATAAATCTACTATTTGGGAAGGGCAGCACTTCACTGGAATTTTGTGAGCACTGACGTGTCACAGGCCTGCATACTTCAGATGAATTGCTGGCACAAATGTTGGAAAATATATCCATCAAAATGCAAAGCCACTGCCGCGAATCTGTAAACCGTAAAGAACAGAGTAGCACTGCCGTGATGGATTTCAGGCTTTTGGGACGTTCGCATGTGCACGGGATCCGAGGTGCCATCGTGGGATCCGAGGAGTACGAGGTGGGCACCCGAAGTCAAACAGGGGAGCCGACATGCTATGAACTGGCCATCACCGACTCCCTGCCTAGCTTACATGTTCGCATGTCCCCTCTGCACTAATTAGGGGTAAGATTGGCTGGGCTACGTGTGGTCAGCATCAACGTGGCGTTCAGCTCGGGCATTTGGGGGTCGCAACTGGGCAACTGGCCGAAGGCGGCTGTATCGTGGTCAAGCCAGTGGTTGGGGAGTTCTTGAGTTTTGATATGTTTGTGCGCATGTTTTAAACACTTTGAGCACTTAGCAATTTGCCGCGATTCATATGCAGTTGCAAAGATGACAACAAAAAAGGCCAAGTGACATGTTCCTTCCCCACGTGCGACTTCTCGGCACTCAAGGTCAGGGAGGTTGGACTTCGAAGCAGCGGAATGTACCGGCCAGTGGAGAATGGCAGCCCTCGCATGTTTCTTCTTAGTGAAGAGAGTGAGAGAGAGAGAGAGAGAGTTCAGGTGAGACATGTTTCATGTGCCAGGATGTTTAAGTTTCTCTAGATGTTCTTCTTAAGTTTACCAGAAACACACACCTCTACCTGTGACATCTAAACTGGTCTTCTTTGGGGCTATGAGGTGAAGCGAAGATGGGACTCTTGGATCAATCGGATGATGCTTGGGCCTTGATCCTGACTCTTCGCTCAGCTAAGCGGTGTCTTCGCCAACTTGGTCCTGACATCTGAGGCCGTGGTGATGTCCTACCAGTGGGTACCATGGGCCGGACAAATCGGGTTGCCGGACTGATAGAAAGTGGGGAGTGAGATGAGCCAGATGTCAGACATGAGGTCAGGTGTGTGAAAGACCTGACTCAACCTTCCAAGATCTTCCAAGCAAAAGGCCTCTACAATAAAGTGTGATCCTGAGTAGTAAAAGGGATTCCCCCCTCCCTCCAACAAATGGGAGGTCTTTTATAATACACTACCACCAAAACAAATCTGGGTTCCTAGCATGGGAGGCTTCCTTTTGAAATTGGTTGCAGTATTCATGTTCCCGTCTCAGGTTCCTTGTAATTAGATATTCTCAGCATGCCATTCATACTAAGAAGAGGGCAAAGAAGGTTCTCAGGTTCTTTGCTGCTTTGAAGAAGAACTAGAGAAACCTATACTTATCAATACTCTCAGCAAGCCAGCCATTGGCTTAGTAGTATTGAGAATTACTCTTCTTATTTGTATTCAGGAAAAATCTTTGCACAATTGAGGACCCTTAAATCAACGTTTTTATTGAGGATCAGGGGCCTTCCTGGTCTACTACCTTGAAAATTTGTTTAGGAGCAATCTTTACATAACGGATTGATTAAGGAGTTGATGGCTTTGGGAAGCTGTCAATTTCGAAGAAGAACTAGAGAAACCTATACTTATCAATAATGTCAGCAGGCCAGTCATTGACAGTATTCACAGTTCTCCGAAGGATTTTAAACCCAAATTGTTTTTCAGATAGTAAAAACACATAGGATCCCTTAAAAAAATAGCATAATAGAGGACCCCTTAAAACAAACATAGTGTCCAGATGTGTTTTTGGAATCTTTAGCATTCTAGAGGATCCTTTTACTAATCAGGATCCAACATGATCCAACATTATTCTATAATTATCTATGTATACACTACATACATAATCATACGTAATGAAATGTGTCCAATTCAGAAACCAGAAAGGAATAAGTCTTTTCTGTTTCCTGCTGACCGTTCTGCCTGTTTGCATTTGCCCTCAGGTACCACCCGGTGAAGTGAGAGAGGACTCGCAGCTGTTGCAACAGATCTTGGCCCCAGGCTCAGGGGCCGCTAGACCAGGCCGACCAGAAATACAGTCAACTGCATGTGATCGTTGAGTTTGCCAAATCAAGAATCAGAACCTTCCTTAGTCTTCCTTCGCAAATCGCCATGAGGTTGCCGCAACTCATGTGCGTTTGCAGCTGCCGAGCAAGTCTGGCGACACGGAGGAGTTGATGATTGACTTGCAGAGCTGCCAGGCAGTGCCGGGCACCAGTGAAGTGATCAGGTGGAGTGGCTGGATGAAAGGAATGGTCGTGTCTATCAAGAACTCCGGATGTCGCAACTGTGAATTGAGAACAAACAGTTAACACCATTTGACACCACTTAGCTAGTTGATCTCTGAATCTTAGCAATTGCCTAAGACTTTGAGCACAGCCTTTGCAGGTCACTGGACATTCCTCCTGGTATCAGGCGATGCTCCGGACCGTTACGGGACGCGGTGACCGGGACAAAGATGACCAGGTCTCATGATACGTCTGATGATGTCTGATTGGATGCTTTACCATGTATCATGATGTATATTAATGTATCCATTTGCACATCACAGTCTTAGCAGGGCGTCTTAGCCAAACAGTTTTTGCCGCAAGATGTGCCCTTTCTTGGACACGGGAGGATGCGATCTGGATCGGTGAGGATCAAAGTGTTTGCATCAGACATGATCGTCGAATCAAAAATCATCTAACAAGCACACGCAGACACACACACACACACACACCTCAAAAAGACTTGGACCACTTCGATGGGGCAACAACTTCCAGTCCGACCTTTGGAGTGAAGGAAGTTCCGTGCCGAGGGTATCCGAGGGGCCGACCTGGATTTAGAGAGAAGACCGGGGAGACCTGGGCCAATCACGCAGGTTTGGGGTCTCCTCGACGTTTTCTCTTTGGTCAGCCTGGATTGTAAGACACCAGTGGTTTACGCAGGCCAACCAAATCAAGAGATTTGCTCTGGCAGATGATGTGTTCTGTGTTCCACATTGGCCGACCTCAGGTCCTTCCTGCCAGACCGCGAGACTCCGCCGACCCCTCCTTGGGTGGCTTCCAAAGGCTCACCCTGGGGATAGGCCCAGGTCTACGCCTGCCCGAGGGCTCAGAATCGCGTTTGTCTCGGGGGGGGAGGTCTCCCAGGAATGAGTGGATTACAGTGGCTTCCATCTGGAGGTCTCCCAAATGTCACCATGTACACAAAGCCCAGGAGTGGTGAAAGAATTGAATTGAAGATGTTGTTCAATGAGTTATTTGCTTCTTGCGACTCAGGCATCAATCCTGGAGTGGAGTGCAAATCGCATGGTCATATCATCATTTTGATTTATGCCTGGACAATGGGCAAAGTGGCTCAACACAGTATTTGAGACAAGAGGCGCACAGTTTTTGGAGGCCCATGATGACCCTTTATATTTGACGGGAGTGTCCAACACATGTTGGAGGGAATGCATTTCATGGGCCATCGATGACACTCCTGCATTGTACTGTACTGCATCTCAAAATGCATATGCAAGGAAGAATTGGACGGCATACCCGAAATATGGAGGCAACCCCATTCCCCTTCTATGACAGTTGTAGAACTGCAATCAAAAACTGCACTGAACCCACCCGTCCCCTTGCCATGGTGTTCATCTCTCATGTTTCTCTTCTTCCTTTGCGACAGCCTCCTTTGCGGTCACAAGAGCTTTGGTGTCCGGCTCCACCAGCTCGCCGACGAGACACCTGACGCGAAGACAAACGCGGCGACAGCGCGGTCTGACCGTGCGGTCGACCGCGCCACGAGCCGTGTTTGTTCTGCGTGTTTGTGCATCGCCAGCGGAGGGGCCTTGGTTATGGGCGGTGGAGATCATTGTCCTCACTCTGCTGTGGGCTTGGCCATGAAAGCACTCACAGAGCCTGCGGTCTACCAGGAGCTGGCCAAGGATCCTAAGGTGAATGTGCTCGTTTTACGTGCAGCGATGAGCACTGCCAAGTGCCGATCGCATGGCGAACAGTTCCCCAAGGTGGTGAAAGAGCGGAGACAATGTCAGATGATTCAAGATTTGGAGACTCCATGGAGTGTATGTGATCTTGAAGATGTGGCCCGTCCTAAGTCTTGATCCAAAGCTGTTAGCACAATGAGAAGCTTGATCTCGGTCAAGAGGAGTGTTCCCTTCAAAAGGAATCCCTGTCCAGGAGTTGATGAGTTAGAGTTGGGCCAGTTTTTCATACGAAAACCCAACTTTCACTGCTTGAGGTGATCCGAGATCGACCAGACCGCCAACGTTTTCCCGAGCTTGAAGCCTGTCGACTGCGTCATGCTCAAGGCATTTACGGAGGAGGCTGGGTGACCGGAGCGGTCGAACGTCGAACGATGGGTCCAGTGGACGGCAGATAGAGGCGATCTGCCATCCTGGTGTTTGAGGTGTCTTGTCTTCTAGGGCACATGGGGGCCACCCTGTGTTTGTCATCCGTAATCATTTTAATGGCTTCTATGTTTCTAGCATAGAGTTGAACCTTGTCACAGATTAGGGTGCAAAGCAAGAATTGGTCCGATTGAGACAGAACGTTTGACCCACAGGTAGAAGAAGCTGCAAGTCCCAACGCCGTAGTTGATGTTGTATTGTTCTCCTTTGGTGGTTCCAGTTGAGTTCCAATCGAAGGGCAACATTGGTCTCACGCAACCATGGTTCTACGAGAATGTACTCTTGCAACACCAGCATGTACTCAGCCCAAGACTCCACTGATTGACTGATTGACTCGCATTTCATCATTTGGTGACCATCCGTACTCATGAAAAAGCATACGCTCAGCTTACGCTCGACATATTTTGGTGCAGGGGACGACTTGCACTTCCGGAAGGATATCGCCGTGGCTGCGGGAGATGAGCTATTGAAAGCTTTGCGCCGCACGGCGCTGCAGAAATATCCGGAGATGGAGGGCGACGATAGCTCCTGGGATCAACTGGTCATTGGCATTTGGCCAGGACTTTATGCAGTACACCAATTCATTGTCTAACTAAACTATTAAGCATACGTTGACAGGACAGGTTTTGGTAGTATTTAATTTATACTTTCTACAGAATAATTTGTAAGAGGTGTGTTGTTCTATAATATCATGATTTTACCTTCTGCATGCCTTGATGCAGGCATTCTGTTAGTTCTAGCAGCCGGCTGGAACACCGAAGATGGGGAATACAACTGCCTCGATTCAGATGGCCATTGCTGGCGCAAGACAGAGCTGGTCGCCTTGGCGGAGCTTTGCGCGCTGAATGGGCGCCCCTTCTCCAGCTTTCATGCGAAGTTCGAGCAGCTGTTGAATCGATGTCAGGAGGAGCACATTGCTTTCATCTTCCAAGACTTGGCATCCATCACTGCTGCCTCTGTCGCTCCTCACTTCCCGAAGCCTTTGTCAAAGCCGTCCCAGCAGCTCTTGAGCGAGACGGTAAAAAGGAAGCGGCTTCGGGAGAAGACGGTGGCTGAGGAGTTAGCGGAGATTACTGGGGTGCCGCTGGATACGGCGGAGAGCATCATCTCAGTGGCAGGTGGCCTTTCTGAAGCCTTGGAGCATCCCATGTTCAAACAGGACATGACGCGTGAAATCAAGCATGCCAGAAATGAAGCACCCTTCCAAGAATTGGTGCCATCGCACAAGTCGATTGACCTGGACGCACCAGAGGATCCCGGGAAGGGTGCCAATTCCGCTTTGTCCGAGTTGCTCAGCATGGGCTTTCCACAGCTAGCGGCCGAGACCGCCTTGCACTGTGCGAATGGCAACCTTTCGCAAGCCCTTGAGGATTTGTTGTCCACATAAGATGCACCAAAAAGATCCAAAAAGACGGAGCGCTCCCAGGGCTCCCAAGTACTAGGCTACCCTCCCCGCAACAAACATGGAAGTGAGAATCGCCCCTGGAAAAAAGGCATGTTCCTCTACAAACAGGGGTTTGTTCACTTCTATGTTTTTTGCAGGGAGGGTTGCCGGGAGAGCAAGATGTATAAGATAGAAGGTGTACAGCGCACTGACGTGAAGTCATGTTTGCAAAACTAATTTACAGTCGTTCAGCTAAGTGGCAAGTCAGTTTGATTGTGCCTTAATATTAACAACGCAGAGAGACTGCCAAACTCGGAGCACCGTGTTGTTTGTTGGCATAAAGTGGCCAATACACATTTGCTTGAAGTTTTACATTCAATCCCGGTGTCAATGGTGGATCCTCAACACGTATTGATGAAATCCAAAGATAAGTTCAAAGTATGTTGGGCTCAAAAACTGAAGTTCCACCAGCTTTCCTTTGGCAGGCTGCGGGGTGAACCAAGTGAACCATTGTTATTTCTACAGGTAATTGAAGGAAGAGTTGTTTCCTGCGTGTAACCCCTTAAAGGCGCTTTAAAAGCTCTGCATGTCGTCTTTTTTTGTTGATTGGATACGATCTAGGATCCAAAGAGGTCAACCAGAAGAGCAAAGGCGCATCACACCACGCCTGTAAATCCAAGCATTACTCTATGTTGCGGTCGTTCCTCATGAATCCATCGAGAATGAACAATGCGCAAGCTGACTGGTCATACACAAGGAGTGGCCCAATCCTCGCATTCTCGTTGAACATAGATTTGAGTATCAAGATCCTCCGCATTGTTTCTGTTTTTGTTCAAGGCCTTTGCCACACAAGCTCTTTGCCACTGCTACGGGGGTAGCGGAGACTGCTGAGGTCCACAGTCATGTTTGTGGGTGTGCACGTACACATTTTGTTCAGAGTGGCTCTTCAAACTGTAAATTTGATGTTCTTTGATTGATCATTGATGGTGTATGACTCAATCTATGAGCAAGTGATAGTAGACATATTTAACAATTTGTGACCATGGGCAAGTGATAAGTCACTGGACGTGTCCACAGAGACAAGACGTCTATCCCGCGGGTCAAATATACTTTGATGGGCTGAAAAGAGCTCAGCTTAGGGCGTCAAGGCCCCTGCTTGGTTTCATCGGCTTCTCTAACAACTCCGCTCTGAATGGTACGTTGTCGACACCATTTTCCAGCAAGTACTGTGATGGCCACACTTCCAGGTTCTGGCACATCTTCTGGCAATATGGTTTAGCCAGCGACACAGCTTGGAGGACATGGGCCATGGGCAGAGCTTTTCAATGCTCTTCAGTGGAATGGGAGCAGAAAGATATCAATCAGTGACATTTGTCCTTGGTTGGAATATTTGGCAGACTTGAAGTTGACTTTTTAAAGCCAAACAGGATGTTTGTGCAGCTCTCCGTGTCATCCTTAGTTTCAGCCAAGACTGCTGTGGTCATGTGCTTCAACTTGTGGTCACTGACGTAACTTGTGTTCAAACCCTTGAGGCCAACAACCATCCCTGGTGTACTTTACCTCCACCGCGGCAGCCTTAGTTGGCCCCATCCGCTCCTTTAAGCAGAAAGTGTTCCAAAGACAAGAGTGTGACATAGGAAGAAGCCGCATAATCATGCATCATCCACCATTCCAGACATTCCTTAAGGCTTTGCCTCCCGTCTCTAGTCAGTCTTTCTTCTACATTGCCTCAAGTCAAGGCTTTGTTGGAGCGCTTTGATGATCTTGGAATCATTTTCATGCAGGCGCTGTATCTTGAAATCATTGATTCATTGATTCAGTACCTCACATTTCGTGAACAGCCAACAATGAAATAGGTGCGTTGGTAGGTTGGTGATCCTAAGTCCAAATCTATCATCTCGTTCTTGATCCATTCCTTTTCTGGCTCAAAGCTTAGAGTACCATTTGAGTGTCTACGCAGGTCCCTCCTCAAAACTGGTAGTCGAGGTTCCACCGGGACTGGGTTTGGGTCCTGCAGAAGATTGCTTTTTCGTTGGTTTTTGTCAAGTTTTTCCCCACCTGTCAGGTGAGGGTTGTTAGATTTTACGTCAGCCTCATCTCCATGGCGGGGATCACTCGAAGTAAAGTAGTTCTCTCATGGGGTGCAGGTAGGGGTGGAATGCCTCCAGGGCGATTCTTTCAGCCCTCCAACTTCTGGGAGGCCCTCAAGAGACACTGGTCGAGCGTGCTGCACCACTTCGACGAGCTCATGCCTTGGGTTGTAAGCTATGAATCAGAAGGGCGATTCATCTGTGGTTTTGTGAACACACACGCAGAAGTGCCATGAAACGCCTGTTTGTCAACCATTTGGTATTGTTTAAGATATATAATCTTCTTGGATCAGCATACACCAAAGGACATATGTGGGTTTTGTCAGCCTTCACGTTTGGTTGACCCGAAGAAAGCCCGATGATTCGGCCCTTAGACCCACGGCGACCCGTCAGCACGGGCCAGTGACCCGGCTGACACCAATTCCTCAGACGATGAGCGATGATTGGCTCAGGTCGGAACTGAAGCAAGGCAGCCATCTTCCCGAAGTCAAGGAGATCTGGAGATCATTTGTTTGAGGGAATGGCGGCGCCAGGCCAATTTGATTCCAACTCTGTGATTCCGTGGGAGGAGATTCTATTGCAACTCTTGCTTGCTGGGTCCAATGACAGATTGGCAGCTGTCGAGAGCTGAGTTCATGTCTGTACACCAAGCAGCTAGCGCAGATTGAAGGCGTCGACTCGACATGGTGAGGGTTCCGCTCGATCAACTCCGGCGGGTTGGATCCGCTCGATCTACTCAGGTACTTCCAGCAACTCATCTGGGTGACTTTTGCAGCCTTGTAACTTGGATGATTTTGAACCTCCCATGTTCTCAAGAAACGAGGAAGGCAAACCAGGAAGGGCAAGATCAAATCATTTTTTAGTCTGACACAAGGAATCACATGGAATCACAACCGTTTGACCAAAGCTGATGACAAGAAGGGTTCCAGCGCTAGTCAGTTGTTGCCAGGTTTCAAGCTTTCAGTAATTCATTTGCCCTTCCGGCGGGTGCCCCACGAAGCATGGACGTCTTCTCACAAACCTCTCGGCCAAATCTTCTCAGGTGAAGCATACGAAGCTCTCGCTGGAGCTTCTGGCAGTGGAGCGCTTCTGTTTCGAGGCCCCCAGCTGTCGGAAAAGGAACAACGAGGATGATCTCCACTTGAAAAAAAGGAACGACTTGGAATGACTTGGATGTCACGGAATGGAAGACCATTGTTGTTGAGTGGGTTTGTTGTACTTCCATATTTCTTTTTGGGATCGTCTCCACTTCTGCAGAGGGGGGCTCGCGACTTGTCAAGCCCCCTTGAGCGTAGAATTCCAGCGGGCAAATTCGCTCACAAGGCTTTCTTCGGATAGCGGCTAGCGGCGGTAGGGCCTGCTTAGGGCTTGCTTGGGTCTCTTTTAGGTCAGCACCTGATGAATCTATAGATGGCACAAAGAACCCCCGCAGAGTGCAGTAGAGGAGGACTATTATAAGGGGAGCCAAAGTGTGCAGAGCGTGTTTTTTTGGATTGCGTGGCAAACCTCCGACGTCACTTCCGCCTTGTTGGCATCGTGAAAGATGTCAGCAGCTTGAGGCTTCTTTAGAGAGGATCGCAGCCTTCCAGCATTCCACCATCACCTTCATTTTGATCGCAGACTCCTCAGTTTCCTCGGAGTCTCCCCTCAATTTGCAGACTGATTTTGTCCTGCTTGTGTCGCTTCAGAACTCTGAGGAGGTTTGCGGTGACGCGAGATTTACTGTAAGCTGACCGACTGAGGAAATCACCGGGCAAATGTCTGCCTTACAACTCAGCGAGCGCCAGCCACAGCCACGATGTCGCCATCGCAGACGACCGGTTGAACCGTCGTGACGCCCCCCCCTCGCACTTAGCCGCTAAGCCGCTTAGGCTTATTCGCACAGCTTGTGGGTCCATTCGCCTCGTTTTCAGCCCAACACTTAGTCGGATGATGTGAGATGTCACAGCAATAATTTCTATGCCAAAGTGCCTGAGGTTGGTATCCGGGGCTTCTGCCCAAGCTGGCACTGACCCTTTCCTTGGCCAATGTTCTCTTGCCCAATTCCCTGAAAGAGGTACGATGCTAGCTTTATAAGTTAATTGCACTTCCTTGGCAGAGGCAGAGTACGCCAAGATAAGCTTTTGGTCAGTTTCGAGCTTTGCAGGCTGATCTCAATTCCCGCTCCGTTGGACACCCAGTTCTCAAACCTCAGAACCGCAAAAACGCCCACGGCCCTCGGGAATTCGGAGAAGCGAGGCACCCACACCCTACCGAGACACCTTTGCGCCAGGATCCCAGAACGGTGCTGGCGCCTGGCGTGTTCGGCGAACTCGTGCGCGGCGTGAACGGCGAACGGCGGCGGGTGAACGGCCGCAGGTTGGGACAAGCGACCTTGGCCTGCTGCCGGAGGATGGAAGCAAATCTACAAGACCTGAGCCCGCTGGTCTTGGCCTTGGTCTGAACATGTCTGAACAAATGAAGAGGAGGTTTGGAAGATCTTGGTGTTGAGCTCAGGATGGCTTGGATGCATCCCTGAAGGATGACAAGATGTCTAGGCGTGGAAACTCCAAGATTTTTTTGAAGATGGAGTATTTAAAGTTGTCTAAGATGGCGGGACGATGCTGTTCTTGCTTGTTTGGTGATTTTGGTACACGTCTTTCATGCAAAGATTGGATTGGAAGAATGTGTGAGCTGAGCAGGGGTGGCAGTGGCAAGCACATCAATTGGGTCTTTGCCTCAGCGGACGAGGAAGATAGACAGTTCCTTGATTGAGCCTCATCTTCAGATGTCACCTTCAGAGAAACCCATGGGATGTCGGAACAGCATGGAACAACTTTATACTGTATAACTATGATTGTGATGTATTGAGAACAAAAGTGATCAAAGGACTCCCACGGGATGCGTTGGCTTGGTCCAACACGCTGAGGCGCG